CTCCTCTGATGTTAGGCATGTTAACTACAGAGGTAGTCACTAGGAAGTATGTAATTCAGAATTATTCTTGCCAAGAAGGAAATGTGAATAATTATACCACTAATCCTTCCCACTCCTTGATGCCACATCTTTCACCCAAACATTTTCAAAGCAAAATCCAGCGTGAAGCTTGGAGGCCAGGAGAGGAACGGAGAAGTGGGTTCTGCCAACCTTCTTGTCCTTCAAGAGCAGGGGATGCCTCCGACTTAGTGCAGGTCTCAGGCATTCTTTATTGCTAAGTGACATTAGGTTTTGATGAACGCAGTAGTTGTACCTGAATTAGAGCTTCAGTGTGAGACTTTGAAGAAGAGGCTGCAGACTGTTTGGTGAAATGCTTTTACTGGATTTCCCCAGTGATATTGCTCCAGCATATCAAACAGGGCCATGGCCATGGCCATGGCCATGAATGCCCTTTCATGTTGGGGAGAGAGGGGAGAACACGGACTGAGTACATATTGTGAAATATTAAGTTATGAATCACCAGAATTAAATGTTGGAATAAATAGATAACTAGGAAAACATTAAAGCAACCAGAATTAATACTTCAAGATAAAGCTTTTAAATATAGAAGCTCTACGCTGATGTATGCAGAGTAACTGTCTTTTTGAAAACCATCAGCCACCTCCATCCCTTTCAACGAGGTTTTAGGAGTGTTTATTCTTATCTTCCTTTAACCAGGACATTTCTTTGAAGGAAACTCACCGCCAGATGAGTTAACTACTCACATACTGATCGCTCACAAACCTACCACCTGAAGTTCATCCACATGAACAGCATCCTCTGCAGTGCTATCCTCCCTCCACAAAAAGCTGCCACCCCAGTCTGCTTTGTTTATATAGGGTGTCTGCTTCCCTCGTGCAGCCCTCGTTTCCATGGGGCTCTGACAAGGATGCTTTGCTGAATGATTATTCTTTTGGCTTAGGTGCCGTACAGGATATGTCGCAAAAAGTACACCCCAGCTCTGGGGCTGGCTGATTTGATCTTCTGCAGCGGAGCTGCAGCAGAGGAGGGGAGAATTCAAATCCATGTTGTGCATGCAAATACATCTGTCTTGTCTGAACAACAAAATGGATCATCTGCCTTGGTTTTCACACCGCTCTCCCAACCAACATTAACCTTTCCAGGGAAAAACAACTAGCTGGACTCGGGGAGTCGTTTTCTTGTTTAACCCATCACAAATTACTTATTTCCTGAGGTGGGAGTGCTAGATGTGATCTACGCAAGGAACTAAGCTGGGAATGCAATTTGAATTAACCTGTATTTTCTTTGATGTATTTTAATACATTTTCATTACTGAGTAGCATCTGCTATTCCCAGATTCTCATTTATACTGTTATGAAAAATGAGAATCAGACCCACAGTCCTCCTGCATTTTACTCTTTTGCTTTCTGCAAACTGTTACTACAAGTTTCAGGAACAACGTTTCTGACAGGAGTATACAAGTACAGTAACTATTTGCTACCAGAGATACGTCTTTTTCTTCAATCTGCAAACTACGATTTTACCTTGTATTTAACTCTGGCTATTAAACGACATCGGAGCAAGACAAACTCACCTACCAAGCAACATTACAGTATTTGAGAGTGTCTCTCCAGATGAGGACAGGCAAGATGCACATACTCCGGGAGGAAAGGACATTAAAGTTAACTTGTCGCCCCAGAGCAGGGGCTCTTTGGAACAAGATTACTGCCACTTTGTCAAAACAAACATTTCAGTATATTCCTGAGGTTCATTACTTAAAATGGTGTGGTGAAAGCATTGCAAAGATGTACGTGGCAGTCCTCTGTCGCACCCACACTTGGATTAAAGAACAAAACAAAACAAACATCTTTTTCTAGCAATCTAACTCATATTGAAAGACCATTATAAACTAGTGAGCTTTATTACCATGATTTGTGAGCTTCCGCTGCTCTCTGTCTTTTGTGTCGTTCCAAATAATGCTTCCTCCACTCTGGCTGCCCTCAAAACCTTTCATTTTAAAGCATTCAAGTGAAATCACACTGTTAGTTTCTAATTGGCATTTTAGTACTTTCCAACCAGTTGAGATACATTTCCGTTTGCACATGCATGCCCTGAGTAACACTGCCAATTTGCTCGAAAAAACACATGAAGAGCTAAAGTGCCCTATGTTCTCCTCTTACTAGTCTCTGATTTTCCATTTTGCCTGGCATATCACTGTTCCCCAAGCTATCATACATTGCTTAGCGCAGATGTGACAGCGCACACTGGTTTGCAAGATAGTCCTGGTCTGCAGTTTTTTGAAATGGAATTGACAGCAAGGCAGCAAGTCATCTCATACCCAACTGGAGATGTATGTTTAACACAGGCTACATTTTGACCATTTCTTACCTAAAACAAACAATCCCCTGAACAATCCTACTGTAAAGTGATAGTCACAAAAATGAAGGAGAGAGAGGAGGTAGTACCTTGCAAGTCTTGATACCAAAACTAATACAAAGTTGGTAAATAAAGTTTAATGTTATATAAATAGTTAGCTAAGCAGTAATCTCATTTTAACAATGTTACAGAAACCCGTATCGATGTTTTTCTTAAATTTATCAGGAAGAAATCATTACAGCTATCAGCCTCAACATTATACTCTACATGAACCTAGATGTTAATGGCTGCATAATTAAGTTCAAAAGAAAACACATATCAGTTTAGAAGGACTTTTTTTAATGCCAGCATTTAATGGGGGGGAAAAAAAAAACCCAAAAGCCTTTTAAAACCAATTCAGGAGTACATTGACCTTTAACTTCTTTCCCTTTATACAAGGCGTAGTTGGCAGAGGCTGATCATTAAAAGATTCAGCAAGCATCATCAGAAAGTTGGGCTTTGCTCAAAGGGCCACAGAGTGCTATTCCAATGCTTAGGCTTGCCACCAGCCGATAATACATTCAAACTCAAACACCACCAGGCACAAATGGAAATAAACTACTAGTAAAATGGTAACAATAATAATATACTATTAACAAAACTCATGGTCATTTAAGAGGTCTGTTTACTGGCTGCAGGGTCCAACACTTTCTTTGCTGCCTGCCACACGTAAAGTCAATTCCATTTTTGGTGCACAAAGGTTCTCTTTGCTTGTTGTTCAGAGGGCTCAGGATAGGGTCAGCATAGTTTTCAACTGATCATCTTTAATCAACACTGATGATCAAGGAGGCCAAAAAAACCCCAAGCAAACCATGCAACATGTGCATAATCATTTATATTATTACACAGAGAACATTAAACATTGTAACCTGCTTGCAGCCTTGTATTATCTTGACCAAGCATCCATACAGTTACATTCTGGTGTAAAACACTGTTCCACTTAATGTTTGGTGTAACAGCTACTTACTGAACAATATTTTTACCTGGATTCTACTGCACCTGTTTTTGACACAGAACTTCTGTATACCAACGCCACACACTTTTTTCAGTCATAACTCACAAAACAAGATAAGGCGTTTGCAGATATCTGACTGCTATGATCACAATAAATCCATTTTCCAGAGCTTTTAGTGAACTTTGGAGACCACGAGAATTTGTCTAGCGTGAAGGGCGAGTCCAGGGGAGACAGTCAGTTCTTCCAGGAATTCTAAATTTGTCATTTCTCGATGCTGCTATACACAATATAGAGTTTAAGAGTACTTGAGCTCTTTCCTGAATAAAAATTTGTTCTTAAACCCTACTGGATAACAACAGGGCTTAGGCACTTCTGAACATTTTATCTGTCTTTAACAAGGGGAAGCTTTAGGCTACAAAATATAGGACAGGCGATCATCTAGAAAGTGAAAAATTAGTGATCGGCAAGAAGCAGTTTGATAGTTGAAAAGTGTATTTTAAGTGGACTTCACATCCATACAGAACTTCAGTGACTAGAATGGGATTCTGTACACGAGGGTCTGCCAGCAGAGATCTTGTTCGCAGAGCCAAGGACTTGACTTTAAATTATAACTTGGTATAAGAATATACTTTGGGAAAACCGTTTTACTGTGAAAAGTCACCCTTGGAAACAACTCTCTTATCAGCAAAAGCGCACGGCGCCCAGAAATGGAAAACCGTTGAGTAACAGTGATCCACATCCCAACATGCTCAAGCCTTGTAAACAACGAAAACCAAGGGAATAAAAAGCGAAGGAACACAAACCGGATTGGCAGCCAAGACAGCTGAAAGATTTGTTACATTTCTAAAAATGGCTTCTTTTAAAAGGAGACTTGGAACCCATCCTGCGCTGGCTGGCAATGAGAGAATGCAATTTCACATACACTGTGGTCTCTAAGGCAGAGCAATAATCTGCTAATACAAAATAATTGATTTAAGAGTTTTTCTTTAAAAAATAACAAAAAAAACCAAATAGGCTTTTTACTTGTTAAATTGATAGCAGTGAAAAATCTGTCAAGGTTGAAAAGATTTACAGCCTTGCGTCTGACATCTGTCAATACACATCATCTGTGGCTAGTTCAAGCAGTAAGCCTCAGACCTCCAGAGAAAGCAAATAGGCAGAAGGATGGAAGAAATTAACTCAGCGTGAGATGTGGTGGGATTCTGTAAACAAATAAAGCTGCTCTGTAAAGCTTCCTAGATTTGTTAACCGTGGTGCTTTCTCATAAGGAACTCTTGTCAAGCATCAATATACCTAGTGAAACTTGCTGCTGCTTCAACAGTCAAGACATCGACTACTACACTTTGTTACGTCTTTATGGCATGCAGAACACTCCAGTTTATTTCTCAGCAATTCGTTAAGTGGCCAATAGAGGCTCAGATCTATTCGTTTACTGCTTAGGAACTACAGAATGAGAAAGCCCTCCAAATTAAAAAGGTCAGAAGTTTCTAACATTCCCTTTTCTTTTTTGGTATAGTGCAATGGCATGCTAAGGGTCTAGCTGTGCCATCTTCAAGCAGGCAAAACTTCTACTATCTTCCCCGTGAATCTGTCTGTATGAGGACAATAAATTATAACTCTAGGGTTTACTTAAAAGTAAAACAAAACTTTTTTTTTTTTTTTTTTACACTTGATAACAGAAGCGATCAATAGGGGCGATAACTAAAAGTATCTATTTCAGCTGTTTAGAGAGGAGATATCTGGGAATCTGGTACATCTACTTACTTCTTAAAAGCACTATTGACATTCAGTAGACTTCCTGATCTCTTACTTCCTATGGATGTCCATCTGGGCATACTGGTAGCCAGCCCATTTCTACTAAATGAAGTGAGGCTGCAAGGTATCCATAGCAAGATAAAATAAATCAACTAACTCTCTTTAGGCCTCTTATATCACAGCCCTTCCAAAACTAGACATCACCAAAATTCATCCATGTAGATATAACAGAGCACAGAACATGCTGCATAACGGATGCGGGATTTGCACTGTACTTTTTGTAATGTTGCCTTTACAATAACGTACTATTTTGGACTCTTTCTTCATTTGCCATTTACTCTGAAGCCTTATGCAATACAATCTGGTCAGGATTTCAGATCACAGGAAATCAAGCTACCTAAACTTACTTGTGTGGACACCAAGAAAGCATTAAAAAAAAAAATCACTGCTGTAGATGGAACAGTATTCAAGTTCCTATTGCTCAGGCTCTGATTTGGATATATTTCCTTTTTATGTTTGCTATTCCTCTGGCTCCTTGACTAAAAAGTATCAATTGCTAGTAGTAGTGAAAATATTAACTTCTCTCCCTTCCCTCCCCAATGAATACGTAAAGGAAAACTGCAATGATTTGCTCAGCCCAGCAGTATCAAAGTGCAGAAAGTGACCGGCTAAGAGTAGGACTGGAAAAGGGTCATCTTCTAGCTGAACATTGGTTTAATCCTTGGCATGGACACTGGGAGAGGGAGTACACAGGGAGAGTATTTGTACTGTCTGACATTGAACATATTACCTAGGATCTCAGGTAAGCCCTTAGACTGTCTCTACGGTTTCCTGAGAGGGCACTTCAGCTCTGATTTAGTATTCAACCTCTCTCTCCCTGGATTCGGTAGGAAGCCTAGGCACCCAAATTACATGCCTCAAGTTAGACAGCGCAACACGCACACATGCTCCCCAAGGAGCAAAGTGCAAAGTCTGCCACGTGAACAGCCGCTGTGCTGGTAAGGCCAAAGAGAACACTTTTCTAGTGCTGCTGCAAACTTATCTGAAGCAAGCTAAAAACTGGTCCGCTGTCCCTGTCACGCACTCATGCTGCCAGTGTAAGAAATGCCATTACTCTGCATGATGGCGACTGCTTCCAGGCCTAACCTCAAATTAAAAAAAAGACCTCCTTACCATTCTGGATTCATCATGCTGGGCTGAATGATAAAGTTAGCCTACCTTTATGCTGAAGTGAAGCTATTTCCTGGAACCTGGCCAGAAGAAAAAAGCAGAAAGTCCTATTTGAGAGGTTAAGCCACGAGATGCTATGGAGAGAATTATAACAAAGCACTTTGGAAGTGGTTGGGTATAAGGGATACAAAAGATCCAGGCTCAGAGCACATGCCATCTTGGTAACTGTGGTGCCAGGGTAGAGCTTAGGTGCTAACAATCTGAAAAGTGACAAAAATTGCATCTTCACTCCCTCCACAGGTCGCCTTTGTGCGTATATTAGAGCCTCACATGCCCTAAGTGACATGCTACCCTACCCTTTGCTGTGCCACTTAAGCACTTGTAAATAAACTGAAGTATTGACAGGCTCCCATATCAATACAGTTAGTCAGATCGCAGCAGTCTCTGTACTTATTCAGTATTTAGCTTTCAGATGTCAAGGACAGCAGAGTCCCACTATTTAGAGAGAACTGCATTTTACCTACTGTAAACATTTTTCGCCTGAGAGCTCCTGACACACAATTCCAAACCTCCCATTATGCTATTTTTAGTCACTTTTCAGAGCCGAATCCCATTTAAATCTTTTGTCTTTAAAGAAAACCCTTTGTGCTTCAGCACATAACAGTACAGAGAAGCGTCCCCAGGAAATGAAGCATCTGGGAAAGTTGCCCAAACGTTAATCAGCTCTCGTGCCCTCCTTAGCTACAAACATTACTGGAAGGACACCTTTACTTACTCTGATATCCTGTGCATGCAGGAAGATGTTGGTAATTGGCAAGGTTTTTAGTTTTTTGAGTTCAGTTACAGCCTCCTGCTTTTCCACTTTAGATTTCAGCTCAGATCGACTCAACTAACAGAGATAAGCAGCAGTAGTACGGGATATGAACCTCAGCTTTACTATAGCAGCACATTTTAGCCGTCTTCCCATTGGCTCATTTTCTTAGACAGTTCTTGAGGATGAAAATGTTGCTGTTCTTTGGTAGATACAGAAATCTGTCAGCAGAGTTCACCTGTCCTACTAACACTGACATACAAACAAATGGGAACATTTTAAGCACGTTTTAAGCTCCAGCCTGACCCACTGCACGTACCAAAATGGCAATGTATCTTTGTAGCATCTTTTTCCTTTACCTTCCACAGTAGTAAACTATTCTCTCATCCCTTTAATCCCAACATGCACGCACACGCGCGCCCACACGCACATTAAGCCAATCCAACAAGGAGAGTACGGGCAGGAGTCTGTGGAACGATGTTCATTAGCACATCATTACGAAATTCTCAAGTTGTTTCCCTCAAAGAATATAAAGTTCAACACATTCTGTACATGTTGTTGGTTTCTTAGTTATAAAGTAAACACAGTAACAAACTGTTCATAAAGCATCGATTCGTTTTAAACACAGCCCCTTCTTGTTTTGTTTTTCTGAAAGTCCTCTTCCAGTCAGAAACACTGAAGTGATGTACTGCAAGTGTGCAGACGGTGTATGACAGCAGAGGAAGGAAGAAAGAGGCACTTTTGTTTGGCTGGTATTCTTTGACTTCCCTTTTTCCTGTGGAGGTTCGTGTTCCTGACACTAGATGGTAGTGCTATCACAGAAAACCGCTGTGGTTAGGCACTTGGCAACAAGGCTCCAAGGCAGTGCCCCGCTCTCTGCTATGTCATCAGAATTGGTTTCTGCCGCACTTCCAGGATATCTAGGCAAGAGAGAGGTGGGGGGGGGGGAAAACAAAATAAAGCCAGTAAATTCAGGGGGCCCTTGAAAGTAAGATAGTAATCGGAGTTGCAATTCATCTCTTGTTACACCACTAAAGGACTTTAAAACATAACTAGCACGGGACTGGGCGTATTAATAAAGCCCATTCTAATTGCCCCCAAGCTGCATCCTAGCTAAGAGATGGTAAATCACAAACATATGCCATCACATAGAGATGACGGCTGATCTACTAGGTATTATTCATGCTGGGATGAAACAGCATGTGCCAGATGTGGAGAGCAGAGGGATCTTTCAGAGAAATGAGTGGAAGTGCCATCACAGGAGAGACCATGGATTCTTCTCTTCATGAACGGAGAAACACACCTCACCCAAGATCCTTAAAGAGTTTTTGGCTCTGAAGATCTGGACACAAGCAATTCAACTGTTTCATGCCTTTTTTAGCCTGAAGCCTAAATTTCTGTGCTCAAAAGGCTGCCATGAAAACATTTTTTCTGTTGATTCTGGCTACAGTAAGCCTTCAGCTCTGTATTGTCTAAATACAATACAGGATGAACCTTTAAAACACCTATCATAATCATAGGCATCTTTTTCAAATGTGGATAGTGAAACCAGCTTGCTGGCACTGCAGTATGCAAAAATATCTGGAAACCAGGCTGCCAGGACCTTTTTCAGGCTACACAGAGAATAAGGAACATGGAAAAAGCAAGCACATACTATAGAGCAAAGTTAATGACTTATGTCTTAAGAGGCAGATCACATATACCTGCACAAAGAGGAGTATGACAGGAGTAAAAATTGATCCACAGTCCTAGAGAGCTCTAGCTGTATTTGTAAAGAACGAAGCATGGACATACTGGAGCAAGCCCAACAAAGGGTCACCAATATGATTAAGGAGTTGGACCACCTAGGAAATCTTATCAATATGCACATATTCCAGACGTTTTTAAATGTACTTCAATCACTGTCTCTAGGATTTTAATTTCTTAGTATCAGCCAGAGAGATGAACATCTTTCCCACTCACCCTGACCCACACGAAACGCTCCCCCTTCTGAAAAGCTTTCACTGGCACAAATGTATTAATTACAAAAAGGCTTTGAAAATAGGTTCCACCCAAAGGGCCAAGCTAAAGCAATGCTGGGAGTGGAAAAAAATGCGGATTTTAATCCGCCTTAGGGCCCAGACATTTTTATGCCCTCTTTTGTGCATCTCTATGCACTCAGACACCTGCAACCATGTGTTAAATCCATTAAGTCTCAGAAAGGGCGTTCAAGCAAAAAGCAAATATTTGAGCATGGAGGCATTTATGCCACCCACTTGAGCAAGTCTTAAATGCCAGCAGGAACAATACATCTTCTGTGACCACCAAAAGGCCTGTGGTGAGAGAACGAGCGAGTGCGCGTGATAACTCTAGCTCCACAGCTGAAAGAATATCGACAGAACTATCTTAAGGAATAATTATGTATTCTGCTGAAACATTGTTCAAAGTCAACCCCTAATTATACAGGATCAACTTTTACTGGAATCTGCTTTTTTTTAATTTGAAATCAATCCCATATACAGTGAAGGGGCAAATGATGTAGAAACATCTCTGCTATGTGTAATTTCCACTTCTGTCTTACCAGCTACAGTTTCCTTTTCTGTAGGGTAGGAACGAATCTACTTTTGCAGAAGGCTTTGAGACCTCAGCCTGCAAATGAGGACAAGACTGCAAACTATTACTATTACACTAGCACAGTACAACTTACGATATTAACGGCACACCCACACTACCTTCCTATCTCTTTCAGCAGCAGATTAACCTCTTTAAATAACGACAGATTCCCCAAGATCTTCTTTCCTCTAGGCTATCTTTCAGCAACAGCCTAGTAATAACCACTTTATAATAGGTTGGTTTCATTTTCAGGTGAATTCTTTTTTTTAGACCCAGACAAGAAAAAGAATGCACTAGGCAAAAGCCCACAGTCTAGATAAACCTATTTAGAAGTTACCTTACCTGCTGGATGGGAACAGAAGGAAAGAAATTTCTTAGAGAAAGTAACAGTTACAAGGATCTTCCAAGGTCACAGCTAGGACTTCAAGCAGTTTTTGGATCATAACTTTATTCCACGGTATTCCAGTCTAGATTTTGGTGTTCCGCAATGGTTTTGTCTGAGGCACCACTGAGCAGCTGGAGATCAAACATTTTTTCTGCCCAAGATGGCCAATATTTTCAGATAAGGCATTTCAGGGCTTCACTTAAGGAGTATGAATATAGTGCACTAACACTACTAATATCTCTCTGAAAGATATTGCCAGTGCCTTTAGACAGGGGAGAGAATACTTGACCACTGCTGCTTTCTCAGTTCCCAGGAGTAACTCAGAGTCCCACAGGGACCCACATACTGCAATCTGCATCCCTGAAAGGGTAGCGGGTCTGCTGACTGATAAAGTGCGCACAGATCAGTTGTTTTCCCTTGTCCACGTGTATTTGCAGACAGACTAAAGTTATCTGGATGAAAATCAAAGCTTCAGCGCTACCTGCAGATTGTAAAAACCAGCTTATCGTGCTATCCTACCACAACAGATGCAGAGCTGGCCATCATCAACACAGCAACTGCCATCACATAGTACTGGTGCTCCTGAGCAAAAGCAGACCACCAAACTAGACCACCGACTAGTGGGGACTCTGATTATGCGTGTTACAACTCAAACATCACTGCGTCTAATCAGTGACGTTGGATACCTGACAGATTTATAAGCATCAGGATGGGCACTTGGACCAATCCAAGCAACTCTTCACACAGAGCCCAAATTTACAAGTCAAAATTGCCAAAGGAGACCACTCCAAATTCCAGAGTTGCCTTTCCGTAATTCCCTTAATCCAAGGTCTCAGCTGCACCTGTTGCTGTCAGTAGATGGGTTCTTAATTCAGTCATCTTGCAGTCTTGAGAAAGAGGAACTTTTATCTTCCAGTGCTAAGGCTGCCTGGGAGCCTATTGGCTCTATTTATAGGTAATAAATGTTAAAACTCACCCGTTAAAATTCGATGCAATGGCAAAGTGATGTAAGTTAAGTGTGCATAGAGTAGAAAATTTTCATCTGTTCTGTTTAGCTTGAGCCATGAGCCAACCAGAGACCGTCCTGTTCCAGATAAGGATCGCGACCTCAGATTTGTTGCATTGTGCAGATCTGTCAAGAAAGATGACAGCAAGTTTGAAGTGACTGTACTTCCGTGTTTCGTTGGAACACGCAGTGAAAGTTTCCAAAAGTCAAAAAAAGGAGTCTCCCACTTATTTTCTAGAAATAAACGGCATGTAGGTCACTTTTTAAAAATGGGGTAAATCTTGCCCAGCACTTCATTTACCATTTACACTGAAGTTACTGTATCAGCAGCTGGCAGCAGCAGTAAACAGTCAACCTCTAATGGATCAGCCAAGAGGGGGAATAAAGCATTTGCTACCACACTGCACAAGCAGAATCCCCACCCAGCCTTCCTTCACGTACAAAATAGAATATCCCTATAATTAAGTAGTTAGTCATACAGAAATACCCAAATGTAACAGAAGGAAAATTATCTGCCTCTCTTGCAGAGAAAACTGACATCTGCAAGACACGGGGAGAGTTAGCACTAATGAGCCAGTTCGTTGCAGATCTCCGAGCATTCCCCAAGCCAAACCTAGGATCCCCCTCAGCAGTGCTGTTCTTGCCGTAATTACTTTACTGGTCTACAAACATAACTTTTGAAAACCAAGCCCTGACCCATGGTGCTAAAAGCTGATGTCGAAAGAAACATAATTCTGGACCAGAGCGATCCAAGCTCTAGAATTCTTTGTTCAAAAGCAGGGCACGCTTGAACCAAAGAGATCCTAACAAAATAAAAAAAAAGCAGCAGAAGCTACTCTGGCAGCAGGCAGGACAACGCAAGAAGAAAGTTTCATTTTTCCTACTTACCTGCTAGTGCATTAAAGGTATTAAATGCCGTTAAAGGCCAACCAGTCTATGTCCTCTCCTCATACACCACCACAGTGCTCTTGGCCTACTGTTACCAAGTCAGTAGAACCTGACTTTTGTACCTGGAACAAGACCAAGTCTCCTGCTCTGTCACATCTGTACATGGCAAAAGTGAGCTAAGAGGACCATAACAGGCTGTTCCTGCCCACAGCAGGTCTGTCTGGAACAGGGGCAGGTCTGCAACGGCACTGGCCAGCCCAGGGACACTTCTGGCCTTTAGACAAGCAAGCTATCCTCCACCCATGAGGCCAAGATGCACGAGAGTATCGAGGCTTCTACAGAAAGCCCGTCACTGGCTGGGGACTGAAGTCAACTTCTCCCCTCTTAGAGCAACAAATCTCACCACTGCAAACTCAGGTTTCTAAATTTGTAAAGCAATAAAATTTAGCTACTTCTCCTTTTAGAAATGTTATATTCTTAAACAAATGCAACTTCCTGGCATTAAATGTTAAAATATTCCCCTATTCCTATCAAAAAGTTCAGCTTTGGTAATTCTGCCTGGCTCCATTGCTCAAATTTTAATAAACACAGATTTTTCATAATCGTAGATCGATTGGGTTAAAGGGAATTTTGGAGGTCATCTGGTCCAGCCACCCACTCAGCAACAGCAATAGTACAGTAACAGCAACAACAGTAACACTGAATCATTATTTGTATCTCTTTAGAACCAGGAAAGATAAGGTGAAAACATTTACAGCTGTACGTGAAATCACATTTCTCAGTATTTTTAGATTTTTATTAGCTTACTTTTGTAAATATACTAAAAGGAAAAGAGTGAAAATAATAAGAACGTTCATCATTATGATTAAGGGCATTAGGTTCAGATCCTGCAAAAGAATACCGAGCAAACACTGCCATCCGTAACGGGGGCTGCTGGATAAATGCTTTAAACTCCATCCTGTAATCATGCAACAACTAGGAGAAATGCATCAAAGACAACAGGACTCCACTTGGGAGAGCAGCCTTTCTACCCACACTACCTAGTAACTGATCCAAGCCCTGCCCTTTATCTAGCTAAACATGCTAAAATACATCTCATCTGAAATAACAGATGTTTTGACTAGGCGTATTAAAGGAGAGGTGAGGAATGGTTTTTATTGACAGACTCCTGAGTAAGTTGTAATCAATGTAAGTGAAAACAGAACTTCAATTAAATGTTTTCCTTTAAGCTTGTTTTTTAATGTGCAATTCCTTTTTAGTTAAGCTGGTCCAACAACAATGGATGATACCTTCACTACTGCAAATACAATTTGTGATCATCTGGAAACTACCTTTGTGTTTACCTATTAACATGCCAACAGACAGCTGGATTTGCTGGCTCTTCTACTTTCCTTTTTTTTTTAAACAAGAAAAGCTGTCTGGACTTTGCCAATTGTGAGCTTCTTGCCTTATAAAACTGTAATACAGTTGGATTTATAGACTGTATTCTGAACCCGCCTCAATTTTTGTCTTGTTGGTTGTTTCATACTGAGTAACTAGAATTTGAAGGGAAAGTTGCACAATGGGTTAAATCACTGCATGAATGAATTAATTTATCGGACTCTCTTTTTAGAGAATTGGGAACTGATCCAAAGCCGGTTGAAGTAAATGCCTTTTCAATGACTTTAATCAACTCTGGATCCACTCAGCAAATTCAGAGGACCTGCCCATAACTGTACTCTAAACCAATGCCTTGTGATTTCTGGGAGAGTGCACTTGGACTCTTTCCTACTTATCCTTCTAAAGTTTCTCTCAAAATGCTTCTCCTGTCTAAAAGGAGGAGATTACTTTTACACATACATAGGAATTGTTGGTCTTCAGCTTTGAAAAGGATGCTACACCTATGAGTAACCCCACTTACAGGGCGGCAGAGGCATTTGACTTTCTGTGGAGCAGGGTTTTTCACACTGCAAACCTTTTGGAGAATCCAGCATTGGGATCCCTTTCCATAGCTCTGTCCCCTCTCCAGACAAGTTGGTTTAGCTGATGTTATTTCTCTCACCTCCACCATCATCATCTCTGAAGAATTCCTCACTGTCATTTGCTGAGTGGGATTTCTTCATTTCAGCAATTCGATTTCGGGGCACTTTTCTCTTGAGGGATGGGGAGAAAAAGGATGGGCGATTGTTCCTTTCTGGGGTTGGTGGTGTGCTGAAAGAAGTGACCTGAAAGGGAAATTGAAGAAAAGTTGAAGACTGCTTTGTTTAAAAAAGTTCTACGCTTCCAGTAACAAATAAATCAGTCCCAATATGTGGCACGGGGCAGTCATGTGTGCAAAAATCACAATCATGACCGGCATCTAGCTGAAAGTTTTATCAGATCAGTCAGTGAAAGAATGCCAGCTGAGCAGTCATCTCAACTTCAAGAAGTTCATCAAGATGAAATATTTTGATAGATCAGCAGCACCCTTAGCTGTGTTGTGAATAATGAAAAGACTTCTCTCTTCAGAGCTGTCACGTGCACATCACAGGGATATATATTCACAAGGATAAAAAATATAGATTAATAACTTGTTTAGGCACCACGAACAACAATCTTATCTTAGTTTTGAATGTTAAAATTCAGAAGACTTAATAGGCTATGAGTACTAGACATGCTAAAGTTGTCTATCTTCATTCCTTTGGTAAACACACAGCAGTTGTTTCCCTGCTTAAAAAGATGCTACATGGGATCACTCCAGAAGCTCACGGTGTTTCTGTGAGGTAGAGCCACAAGGCAACTACTTAACCTACGATGCTGACACAAAAGTGAAGTCAAGGTACAATTATATTATATTTCTCTATAGGTTAGAGGAAAACGAGGCGAAAGGCCACTGATGATTTAGCTAGCCTAAGCCGATGACAAATACAAGCACATAATTGCCTATGGTGAAACAAGTTAGGCATGAAGCTACAGAGAGACCTTCCTTCAGAAGAGCAGCTGGCTCTTGGGTAAACCACAATTAGAGTTGACCAGATCTACTTCAGGGAGAACTTCAAATGAAGTGGTTATGTGCTGTTTTTGCTAGTAATATTTTAAGAGTTTCTTTTCAAATGAGAAAAAAAAACCACCACCACCACCCCAAAACTACTTTGCTAATGGAGATGAGCAACTCCTATCCTATTCTTCTTTCTTCACATAGTTATTTTAACAATTCTGTAATTCTTTCTGGTCTGAGATCTCATACTGCTCATATCTATCCATACAAATAAGGAGGGAAGTGACATGTGAGTGACGACGACAGCCAAGCCTGTCAAGCTCGTGTTGCTCGTGTGAGGATCGCTCCATGTCACCTCTCCGTCGTTGCTACAAAAGCACAGAAGCATTTTACCAATCAAATGATCTTCTCTTTAGTGCACTTGATCTCTAATTTGCTTCTATTTATTTTCATTTATTTCTATTTATTTTTAACTCTGTAGCCATTTCATACCACACATGGAGGGAGAAACCAGTAACGGATAAATCACCATTAAAACCATTACCAGAAGAACAATGATAATACATTATCAAATAAAAACACTGGAAGTCTTGGAGCCAAAAGAGCAGAAAGTTCCTCTAGGCCTGACTTTTCCAGCTTGTAACTATATGGTAGATAGCATCTACATCTAGTTAATGAGCTCTGTGCCGGCAGCTCAGTTTGCCTTTTAGGAAGCCAGAAAAAAAGAGAAAAAAAGCACAGCTTGCACAGACACCTTTGCAAGCAGTCCTGGTGGCCTCCTTTGAATTACGTGGGTTACCTATGTTGTGCAGGAAACCTGACTAGAATCCATCTGTAATTACCCTGCCTGGGTCAGGATACATTCGTACAGGTATTTTAAAGCAGTGTTGCCTAACCCCCATTAACTAGGCAAAATACACTCATTGAAACAACGTTCAGAACTGAAAAAGGGTCAAATCAGCATCTTTGGTATTTTATTGCACTTGTGCTTAAAATTAAACACGTGCTTAAATACTGCATCTAGATCCCTAATTTTTGCTTTAACATTATACAGGCTTTGTAGTGAAGCCATTAATGGCAAAATCTCTTCTCTGCAACGTTTCCTGTGAAGTTTAGCAAACAACCTACATTATATACTAATTCTACATTTCTGGGTAAATCCTATCTTGCATAGAAATGGAATCTATTCATTTTCGTAGAAAACAGGCAGAATCATCGTTTTCTCTGGCATCAACATCACTCTTGTTTCAAGAAAACACTCCTCCATAAGTATCAATCATCCAGTCACCTCTGTATTCAGTATTTGCTCAAGGAAAACTGCAATAAAAATCCATCCACATATACTGAATATATTCAAAACACACAGACAAAACTAAGTTCAGAACCTTGATGTGATTTAATCCCAATGGTCTATCCACTGGTTTTGAAACAAGATATGTTCATGCTTAACTTTAAGTCAATATTTCTGTCTACTACTTACTCTCTCATGCACTGGGGATTCTGGATTTGAATCTTCCTCTGTCCCATATGGCGAAGTGTCACCAGTAGAAACTCTACTCACTGCCATCTCTGCGTGTCCTTTCCCTTGCGGTCCTTTCATTCGGACAAACTCCATGTTGTTATACTTATAAAAGCCAAAAGACATCCTTTGAGCCATTTTAGCTGCAACGCTCACCTACAATGCACCAAGACAGAGAAACACAGGTAACATCCCCATGCTTTAAAAAAATAACATTCTCAAAGCAGTAGTCCAAGTCAAGAGTACAGTAGATAACGATCACTATATTGATCCTTACATAGCATTTTAAGCCACAATCTGTGAAGTGATTTCCAAGACGGAGGCAATTTTACAGATTAAAAAAAGGAGGCTTCAGCTACCCAAATAGAAGCGTTATCCAATTGTGAGCTGAGATAAAGCACCGGTGTCCTGACTTCCACGCAGTGTGGCACACTGGAACACAGGCAGGCACGTGCACAACTCAGCCCGTGCAAGGACACTAGTTTGAGTCTAAAAGCAACAGACACACACACAAGATCCCCCAAACTAGTACAGCACACCGCACAACTCTAGCACTAATTTGTGGTAAGTCAATTCAGACACTTCTGCGTCCGTATTGCCATGCCCAAAGCATAAAGAACCAGTCCCAACACACAGTTCAGCTGCATCACACTGCTCACCACAAAACACCGATAGCCTTTGAACCCTCTCAACAGATGAAAGGACTCAACTTCCAGTTAACATAACTGAACTGAAAACTCAAATGAGAACTGAAAAAAGGAACAGAGCAATATGAGAACAGTCAAGGTTTTGCCTAATGAAATGAGTAGGACTTATGCATTAGTTTCAGCAGTTTATCATCTGAGTGGGCCAAGTTTGCTCATAACATCATTCGTACTGTGTTACTGCAGTAAGAATTAATAAAGACTTCTGAAATCAAACAACCTTCAAAAGTATAGAGAGCTTGACTCTGTTCTGTCAAGAGTGAAAATATAAGCACATCAGATCAAGTTTTGCCTTTGACTGTGATCGAGTATTTAAAGATCTAACAATTCCATTTCATCTAACAAAACAATGTGAAATAGCAGCATGGTCATAAAGGATGTTCCTCAGCCATGAGGTGACATTAACACACCAAATCTTGCCTCTCCACTGCAAAGCTTTCTTCTTATTTAATCTTTAGTGATTCTGCATTCCTGGTACTTTAATAACCCGCCTGCTGATTGTGTGATGCCATAAGGTGATGGTTGAGCACAGAAACAATTTCAGTTTCATGTTCTCTGGAAAAACTGCTAGAAGAGAATGAACTACTTGCATTTAAAAACAAGGAGACGGGGAAATTATTCAGGACCTCTCCTGAAAGGAGAGGGAACAAAGGGAGATGAAGGAGTTCACAGCCACAGTAGATACCAATTTTTGTTTTGTTTTGATCCCTCAGGACTGTTTTCAGAGCAAACTCGGTAGGTTAGCGTTTCTTGCACTCTCAGCTTCAGCACTAAGCACAGAATCCCAAGCTGTAAGCGCTGGCATTTCACGTTTCTATAGGAAAGCAAAGAAAGTTGCTGTCTGTGGCAGTGAAACTACAGAGGCGTTTTGAAAATAACTGGGAATATAAAATGCACTAAAGAAAAAACACATTTTTTATATAAGTTATCAGAATGTGAAGTCTCCCTGTAAAACATTCCCCCTCTGAAGATAATTAAAAATATCCATGACCTTTCAGAAAAACAAAGGGACTCCCAGAACTCCCTTTATTCATATCCATTCCTTTGCCATGCTCTTGGGTTCTTATCAACTTCATTCCTTTTGGTAAACACCAAATTTTTATACTATGATCTGAGCAACCTCAGCTGTCTGAGCCAAAAGCACTAGCTTTCGAGTAACTTTCAAAGCCAAAAAGGATAGGCTACAATGCAGATGATCTAACAGGACAAAAGACTAACAGCTTCAGTAGCACAGAAAAATCGTGGTTAGTGTTTTGTTGCAAACTCTTTCTGAAGGGCCTTACCCTGTTGTCATAGACTTTCTTGAGTGCTTCATAGCGGATGGACCCCTGAAAAATCACCCCTTGGAAGGTGTTGCTTTTGTCACTGGCCACCAGCTCCACACAGACCATTTCTCCTTCTCCCACAGTCATGTCACTGAAAACCTGCCACGGATACAAGATGAAACACTTGAAGGAAAACTGCAGCTGTTAAAGCTCAAACATGTTCAGATTCCCATGATTCTCCTTACGCCCAGGGTAGATACAACGTAAATGAGAGAAAGCAAGGGAGCTGTAGGCTCCATCCCAGACCTTCCAAAAAACATGACTTTCAGGCACTGCTCGCTGCAGAACACACGCTGGGTTAAAGCTCTCACAACTAGGCTGTCCTGTTTCAGACCATCATAAAGAAAATGCCAAAATCCAGCTCTAAGTTCAGATTTCAAACCCGTTAACGTAAGAGGAAGGTCAAATAAAATCATCATGGGCTTGGCCCCATAAAAACTCACGGAAGAAAACTCTCTTGGCCAAGAACATTTGTCCAAAAGGTACCTAGCAAGCAACCCGCTCAGGACCGAAGACTAGAACAGGACAAAGCTCTGCTGCAGCAGGAAACTCACCTCTTCAAAACTGTCAATCATGAAGAATATGTTGGGGTAGCTTATCTTTGACTCTTCTCCTTTGCTGTCCATTGGGTGCTTGCTAGGAGACGCAAACACTTGCTGAGAAAGATTTTGAAAAAGGTTACATCTGCTCAGCTAAACGTAGCCAGGAATAGGAGGACTGCATATGAGACAAGCAATACCAAAAATCCACAGTCCAACAGTGCTCAATCAGGCACTATTTTGCCTTATGCTAGAGATGCTGGACATCCTGCAGGCAGGGCTGAGCTGGTTTGTGACTACAGCCCGTGCTGCAATAATGAGAGAACCTCCCACTTGTGCCACCAATTGCCTACACAGATATCAAGGGTAGACAGTGCGGAAATCATTGAGTTTTGACATGTAAGCTGCCAAATAGCAGTTGCTCCACAATAGATATCCATGTATATGCCTGACCTCTTACCACACTGTGGTAAAGCTAAGGTCTTCTCCTTCTCATTAACACAGAGAACAACCCTGAGTTGCCTCTAAGTTACTGCAGTGTGCTGCAAAAGTAAAAGCTCACCCAGCAGTAAAGGGATTGTGGGGCAGCTGACCTCATGCTATTTGTTTGTACAGTGAAGTTTGCTGTTGTTGTTTGTTTAGTACCAAAATAAGATCAGCATCACTAAGCAAAGGGACGCGAAGGTCTCATGAGGACCAGTGCTTAATTTTTCATCCCCATCTTCCAGTTCTGTTTCTTTTTCTATCCACTATGCTTCCTGTTACGCTCCCTTCCCTCTGAAGTAATTCCCGATACCCTCTGTTCATCTCACTCTTGAAAACAATCAATACTTAAATAGCTAAAAATGTTTAGTTTTATCATTTCAAGAAGATTAACAAACAGGTAAAACAGGAGAAGTAATCACACCAAGTAACTTTGCTTCCACCTCTCCACTTACAACAGAGCTTTTGATTAAATTGCGGCCACATTTTGTACACTTCCATCATCAGAAACATGCAGAATCTTAGCTCACTGTGAATGTATCAAAATATCTGAATGTCAGGTTTGTGATACACTTGCTACAAAGCATTCAGCATGACATATGACTAAGGGTAGGACATTAGATGTTCATGATAGGGTCGCTTTTCCTTATTTGCACATATGAAACCTACGTGCACATTTAAATATAGATTATTAAAAAAGGAAAGGGTGCTTCAGGACAAGAAGTAGCATTAGTAATTCTAACAAGACTCCTCAAAGATTACATTGCCACCAGTGTATGAAACAAGCACGTCTTCCAGGCATCCTTGTTCCTATGCCATCAAACGTCTAAGAAACCAAACTGATCTTCTTAGACACACCTGAGGAAAAGACAGTTTGTAGAGATCTTATTGTTAGGCCAGGGAAGAATTAGTGTAGCCTGCAAAATAATTTAGGGAAGAGTCAGTCTTTTCTTCTCTGGTTTTGTGTCTTGGGTACTCTGCTGGTGTGAACACAGTAGCTCTGTCATAGCTCTGCAGTAGTATGGCACATTAAATTTCTGAACAGTGTTTCTACCTGCTCAAAACCTGGCTATGCACTGAGACAGGATAATATACACTTTCTAAAACAAGAACAGTCAGAGCAGTAATACAGATCTAAAAAAAGGTGGCGTTTATTCAGTTAAAATGAACAGCCTCAGTGGTGCATGGTACGATGAAAGTGTTCTAATGCAAATATGCTTTCCATGGTATACAGAATTGCTTTGCCCCCCTCCATAAAACAACTTTATAATGTCGAAACGCTATTGGTATGTGCTGATGAATTTTAATGTTTTCTGGGTTTCTCCTGGAAAAGGAGACAAAAAAAAAATTTAAAAACAGCCTCACAGTTTGAGCGCCTAGGAATTAGGAACAAAACCTCTCCTTATTTTCAACGTTGCCCATACACTTTGGGCAAGTCTCTTTTCTTCTTCCCACTTCTCAAATCTGCACGCGGTATTTACAGATTACTCTTTCTTAAAGAAATTATGCAAGAATTAACTCAGGGTAAAATTTGGACTTCTTGTACACAGAGTCAATAATGAGAAAGAAAAGGCTTATATCAGTTGTGTAATGTGCTGTCTTAGCAACAACAAAAAGAAGAGAAGTGTTCACCCAATTAATGCAAATTACAAATACAATAATCAGTGTTGCTGGTTTTCCTTGTAGGCAAAACAACAATTGATTTCAAAACAGTAAAACACAATTAAAGGATAGAAAACAGTGGCTTCTTTTAAGAAAACCCACATAAGCAGTTGAATGAGCTAAAGGAATGGACTTATCTGGAAGAAACAGTTTGTGCAACAGGAGCCTTTTAAAATAGAATTTCTGCCAACTGGGAAAAGGTGTTGGAAGACCTGCTGGCAAATGATGGAAGAAGTCTGGGGTTTCCCGTTCCTATCCTATCCGTGCTTATTTTTCAGACTCATCTACGATGCTAAACGCTGTATCAACTGTATGCTAGACATGAGCAAGTGATAAAAGCTTTTGGTGTGGAGATGGAAGGTGTGAGCAGTTTAAGGCATACAAGGCAAGAAGCTCATAAAACAATTGCAAAAAAAAATAAAAATAAAAAAAAAATCACACAATGGTTTGAGGTTGGGACCTCTGGAGAGCATCTAGTCCAATCCCTCTGCTCAAGCAGGGTCACCTAGAGCAGGTTGCCCAGGACTATGTCCAGACAGCTTTTGAATATCTCCAAGAATGGAGACTCTACAACCTCTCTGGGCAGTCTGTACCGATGTTTGGCCACCCTCGCACTTAAAAAAAAAAAAAAAAAAAAAAAGCTTTTTCTTATGTTTACATGAAACTTCCTGTGCTTCAGTTTGTGATCCACTGCCTCTCGTCCTGTCTCCAGGCACCAAAAGATAATCAGCAAGTTGGCTACCATTTAATAGCCCTAACAGTACACATTACAGATTTATCCTGAAGGTTCTTTTTAATCACATGTTAGAAATAGTACCTGCTATTGTTTTTCTCCTATTTTCTACTTTTTTTTTAAATTTACTTGCATCTGAAACAACTTTGAGAGAAGCTGCCATTTTTTCCTCCAAGAAATGAGTTAAAGCTATCTTTGTTTGCCACCTTGATACGTATTATTAGAATTATTAGCATTTTGCCAAAACTGGAGAAGAGCTCACAGTAAACTCTGCTGCAGCTCTGAGCACAGCAACAAAAGCACCTGGCTGCTACATCTTGCTTTCAACCAAAAAGTGTCCTCCCTTCTTCCTTCCATCATTTCAAACCGAATCTTTGGGCTAGATAAATGGAAGCATACAGCTAAGAATTTTGTTTTTCACACAGTCAACAACCTCTTAGTCATTGTTTAACGCGCCGTTAAAGGTAAAAAGGTTAATAGTAAGATTTGTATAGGTTTGAAAAAAATTGCATGCATCTCTCTTGCTGCCTTATAGGAAGAACCTTTCCCACATATTCTGTCAAAAGCCCTTATGGAAGAAAGAAGTGAAAAAATGAAGTAGTAAAAGGCACAAGAAATTCAGGATAAGGATAACTGATTGCTCTCTTGATTTCCATTTTCTGGCTGTGCTAATTATTTCTGACCAGTGAGAATATTTTCTTTTCAGGACTAGAAGTCTACCGTTTATTCAGTAGGGATTGTAGCACTCTGACAAGGCTGCTGTCCAATTCACTCTTCTTTTTGTGGGTTTGCCACCCCTACAATTTCAGGTTTACCTTCAGATTGATTAACGGTTAGACATATGTCCCCAATACATTCCTCCCAAATCCAGTAAGAAAAGATGCACTTCTCGAATGCTCAAAAGGCCTTACAATTTTCTGAAAGAGGCTATCAAGCACATTTAGATCCCACATTGAGATAACCAGCACTAGACAAAAACCTGAGCTGCTTCACAAGGATGCATCTGTCTCAGAGAGCAGCCTGAGAACTGCTGCCCTGATTTTGGTATAGTTTTTAGGATTAGATAATCCTGCATGCTAACGTGTAGTCCATAGAAATAACAAGGTAACCTCACCTGAGATTTCTTTTTGTGAATGTGAATATCTCCTCCATCCGATCGTGTGCACACAGCACAAGTCACCACATAATCCAGCTGAAACAGAGCACCAGATAGAGAAATGAAGGTGTAGAGTTAAAACACATTCAAGTGCACGAGGCAGAACATATCCTGCCTTCGTTTTTCTCAGCTCTCTGGCTAAGAAGTATGTTCTAATACCGCTATTTTCTTTTTTCTACCCCCTATACCGAAACTCCTACTGTTTTCTTAACAGCCAAGAGGCCTATATTTGTTTATTAATGCAGCAACACTAAACCCTTTCACAAAAAAAGATGCTTGCTGGGGTATTCTCCTGTCAGTATTCTTTATTGGTCAGCTGGGGGAATAAGCATGACACACAGACTTTTAAAGGGAGAAATGGAAAATGTCACCTGCCTAGGAAAAGAGAAAAAGGGAAACTAATGAACAACACAAGCAACACATTAGACAGATCAGAAGCCATCAGAATAGCCTACCAAACAACCAGAGAAAACATATGGATATGGAACAAGCGTGATCATTCTGGACCGCAATGCCCAGCTGTAATAGCATCTCCAAATTCTGACTGCAGCAAAATGATTCTGTTTTTATTCAGCAACAATTATTGGTGGAAACTACTCTCTGCAGAAAAGCTTTGGGAGGGAGGAGAAAAGAAAAAAATAATTTCTTCTCCAGGATGTGTGCAATAAGCCAATGGTCTCATATTTTGAGATCATAATCAACAAAACTTATAACAGATCTGGAATGACTGCAGTAATAATCAGCTTCCCCAAGCACCAATGTAACAAAGTAACTGAACAATCCATGAGTTAATTAAAAAATAATTTGTGCTAGTTTCATGTTTCCACCAACAAAAAGGGCTCATTAAAGTTCTGATGTCAGGAGCAACAAGCTCCCAGTGCAGTACATAATACTTTTACTGCATTTCCACTCAGCAATTTCTCTCGTAGCTGCACAAGTATTGAGAACTTTAATGAAAACGTTGCTTGTGTAACAGTCCCAGTCCCTCTCAAAAACAATGAAACTTGAAGCTCTCCATTTCACAAAACTTTTGTTACTGAGCGCTAAATTCAGACCACCTTCACTGGGTATGTTTAAAGGGGTTTTTTTTTTTTTTTTTGAGAAAAGTCATTAGGACTCCACCAAAAAACAATGAATTTCTCAGTTCATTTATGTTCATTTAGACTCTGAAAGACAAAACGAAAGACAGGTTTTCTTTCTGTCCTCCAGAAGCGTTCAAATCTCCCAAGCAGGGGAGGAAGGAGGCTAGATCAAAGCCTGCCTGAAACCTCTGTACCATAATTAGCCTGCGAAAATTAAGTAAGCTTCAGTGCAACCTTTTGTAGAATGAGGTTCAAGTAGACGCTCTCTTCCCAGTCAATGTCGGGGTCTCCCAGGCCAGGAAGCTTCTTGGAATCTCTCCGGTAAACCTCAACTTCAACCTGCTGAGAAAACATAACACCTCTGTGATAAAATACAGTCTACAAGCACCTATACACAGTATCAACACCAGAAGTTGCACCTATATTACATTGTTTCCTACCATAATTTCTTCTAGCAGGATCAGGTTTTGGGGACGTTTAGGTGAGCCCTTGTGGAAGGGCTTGGCACAGAACTGAAGCTGGGGGTCAGGGGCTGTGAAGGAGGGTGAGTGGGAAAGACAGCTCTGCACAGAGGAATCACAGTTTTGAACAATGCCCTCATTTGCTCCTTTTGACATGTATAAATCAGATCTGGCCTCCACAAACACATGTATTTCTCTTCACGTAACGCCTCAAAAATCAAACACGGTCCCAGATTAATGCTCAGCTCATGCAGCTGGTAGCTGTTTGGAGAAAACAACAGTGGGGAATGGACAGGAACTCAAAAGCATCTTACAGTGACAGAGAAACCTTCATCCCAAAGAATCCGAAAAGACTTGTGAAGAAACCTCCTTTCTCACTAGCAAAATGCAGCCAGCTCCGGGATAAAAAGAGCGAGTGCACAGAGCCTGCTCATCGTTTTAGAAGCAGGAGCAAGGAACTGAACTTGCCCCAAGAGTGATGGGAGGCTTTGGGAAGACTTTAAGCTCTCTATTTGACGTCTCACAGGTCGCATTTTGCTAACCGCTGTTCTAAGTGCTCCACACCAACAGTACTGATTGGAACCAACTACTAAACAGCAGATTTTCAATTGTATTAAAAAAAAAATCAAGCAAACAAAAAAATTCCCAAATAACACTAGAAAACAAAAACAGCCCTACAAACAGTAATAAGCTGAAGTGACTGAGATAACAAATAGGAGACTTGGTGTAGTGCACAGAGCTAGACAGTGGTTTGAAGCTTTATCAAGCTGCAGCACGGGACTTCATCTCACAAAGCAGCGCGTAACACAGAAGAGGGTGATCAGTAGCACACTTGGTAGATGTCACAGCTATGCACCACCTTGACAGAAGATCCAGAAAAGCATTTGTTTCTCTTTTTCTTAGTTAAATATATCTCAAAACTTGGAGATGAAAGCCACATTTCTTTCTCAGGTTACTAACTGTGCAAAAGAACTGCAATAATGAAATCAAGTAAATACTGTAGAAGTCATCGATACCTTTCAATCAGCATCAAGGGATTTTCTTAGTTTAACATCAAATTCAAAAAGGAAGGGGTAAGTACTAGCATTTAAAATTTTAAGTGAATCATTTTAAGTGAATTGAGCACTGCAAGCGGGCATTTGGGACTGCCAGAATGGGAAACAGGAGACTGACACGTTCACTGTTCTGACCTCTAAGCATCGCAGCATCAACAAAGAGCGAAGCTATCAACATCTCAATAGATTCCCAATGTAATAGAAACCATCACGTGAGTTTAGTTAAGTCAGTGTTGCCAGTGCTGAGGACACTCCTTCCTGACCGAGGAGAAACATCTGCCTTACAGATGTTTAGATAGAAACCACGTTGTAAAGGGGAATCTAATCTTTTTTTTTTTTTTTTTAAATGTTTTCTTAAAAACCTCATGCTTTTCAGAACACAGTGTTGTGATTTTCCAGGCTTAACGCACGCTATGAGGTTTAGACTTCCAGAGTTAAGTATGATATGGACAGGAGAACATGTTCATTTTTCACAGATAACTGAGCCCTCCCGAGAAAATGTCTGTCTCATCTGGGATCCAGGAGACACATAGGGCCTTTTTCCAGGCCACATCTTGCCTCTAGTCTCTTTTATCTGGCTTTAGATTAGATGTGCTTTCCTGCCTGTGTGAAAATTTATTAATAGAAAGAACTGCATAAGTGCTAATTATTTATTCCCAGTAAAAATTCAAAAGTCAACCTGGATTTCTTTGTTCAAGTCAAGCAGATCACTTCTGTACAGTTTCAGCAAGTTGAAAACATTTATGTGGCCTTTATAAAGCTTTCATGGAGTTACCGACTTGAAAGTCAGAAAGGTGCGTTACATCAGCTAGGTTGACCTATGTGCCATGGACATTTTACCCTCTTACTTCTATACAAAGCCCAGTTAATCACATTTGACTGCACAGCGTCTAAGAAAATATTATATTTTCAGAACTCGTTCCAATGATTAATCACTCCTTTGGCTGAAAGTCTTCATTTAATTCATCTGCTTCCCTTTTTCCGGACTCTGCCCCTTGCATGCCCATTTCTCCATTTCTACTATATCAAGAAGTTCTTTAATACTTTTTTTTTTTTTTTTTGGCATGAAGAACCTTACATACTATAAATTAGTCATTTGCCAATATTCTTTCAGATAAACCGGACAAAACTCTTTTAAGAGCTGTTTGTGCCTCTCACAGCAGGGCAGTTCTGTAGATCTTGTTTGTCTTCCCTGCACTCTCGATATTTCACAGTCGTTTTAGAAAAGAAACATCAGGCCTCAACATAGCTTTCCAGCAGCGGCCCAGCACTTCTGTACGCGCTCTCGCTGCTCCTCAGCTTATGCACCTTGGGATTGCACCACTTCTGCACACCACCGCACAAAGAGCTTATGCTAAACACCTTGTACTGTGTGAGCTGTGCCTCTCCCCTGGAGCCTGCATGTGTTCCTGGCATGGACGTACTGAACTACAGGAAGAAATGGACCCAGATTTCCCCAGGGTCAGACTGCTCTGTCGGATCCCTGATTCCCAGGGATCAGATTGCTGTGGCACTCTCACGCTAACTGCAATTCACACACCATTGATTTGTGTCATCCACAAAGCTGAATCGGCTGTGACTTTACAATCCCAGTCACTGACCTCTGCAGAACCCCCTCAAAACAGCTCCACCTCCTGTTGGTTCCCCCTCTGCACACTCCATTTTGCCACTCCAGGGAGCCAGGACCTCCACCTCAATCATCCTGCTTTTCTTTAGCCCGTTTCTTTTCTGTGCTTGGAAAACATTCTGGCTGTCCTCCTCGCCCAGCTCTCCCACATTAGGCAAGCTACGGTCAATCCCTAGGGCTGCCAGTGCTTCTGTGCCAACTTTGGCAAACATCAAAGGTCCTGGAGAGAGCCTGGTGCTGCTGGAGCACCAGCCTCTGGCTACGCCAGCAGGGAACACGTGTTATCATTGACCCTGATGTCAGAAGCTATAATCTGCATGAAAATAACTTCCTAAGCGCGAAGGCAGGGAGCACCTATTGCAGATAAACACCGCTGTATTCCGTTCCCAGAAATACGCCTTTCAGAGATGTGCAGATTACAAGATGGTTATCTTTACAAAAGAACTCAAGTGATGGAAAAATCACAGATATTTTCTGTACTGGAAACTAATATAACATATCCTTTAGTTATGAGCTTACAGATAGATGAAAAATTTTTGTCACAAAACCTAGAAAAACACATATGAGACCACAGTCCAGGTTTTAATCTTTATGTGAGAAACTGTATTTTTTCCAGTATGCCTATTTGCTCCTCAGGATGGGATTTTTTTTAAATTCATACTGATAATACGAACACCAAGGAATTTAGTCTCCTAAGCTAACATCCCCCACAATAATCTTACTCAGGAGAGCATTAATTCTCTATAGCTCCCAATACATTAGAGCTATTTGATAACACTCACATGAATTGAAAATCACCTTGTTTGCACAGCTTAGCTCACAAGTCTTTAAAAAAACTCTCGAAAAGAAATCTATAATCAAAATCAATACAGGCTGTCAGCTGGGAAGAGCGCAAACAATGGGATAATAAGAACATGCTTTACAAGGAGCAGAATTTTGCTGGCGTTCAGAAACCATCCAACAAAGCAGATTCTGCCTTTCTTTTAAGGAAGTATAATGCAATACTGGTCTATCTAGCAGTTGCACACTTTTCAGTCTCCTGGACCACATTCACTAAGAAACTGTAAACACTGATGGGGTGGCAAGCATAAAAAAGAGAGGAGGAAAGGACAGCATTCAAGACTTTTTCCACAAAGTAACTTAAAAGCTCAGCTAGTAAATACTACTACTCTTTCCAGAGCCAGCTGCAGTACTGAGACTGAAATTTGACTTTCAGGCTTTTACATTGTCAAGTTTGGGGTTCAAAAACAAGAAGGAAAATCAGCAAAAGTTTATTTCAGTAACTGGTCCATCTTCTACCACTACAGAATTATTCCCTAAGATATGTTCACTAGAGCACATTTTTAAAAGACCCCATCACACACTGCTTCCAACTATTCTGAAGCAACTAATGCCCTTCTCTCCCACGCTTCAGTTTCCCCCCCTGCCCCCCAAACAGTCCTAGTTTGTTCTGCTCTTTCCTGGTGCGATATCTTCCAGCCACTTGTTTTGCTCTCCTCTTTTCAGCAATGAGGTACCTTTAAGTAAAGGGCATGTCCCCGATTGCTGTCATTCCCCATAGATACAACATAGCAAATTGATCTCGTTGGCAGCATAGCATATTTTCTATGCTCTGTTTCCTGGACACAGTACTTCACTCTTGGATACCTAGCGTTTTGTACTTCCACAGATACCTGTTTAAGCACCTAACTCTGCGCGTGTGTGTGTGTGTGTGTGTGTGTGGTTCCCCCCACCTCAGTTGCTAAACCTACAATATGAGGTAATTTCATAGCTTGGATACTAGCATCTATGTAGATGCAAGAGCACAGGTTTGGCACAGGTTAGTTAACTCAAGCATTTAAGCATCCTTACTCCATTAAGCAGCTTCACGTGCTGCACCGACTCTGTGGCAGGAATCAGCAGCCACTTAGTAATGAGCTACTTCACAGTCTGTAGGCAACACTTACACACACGCCCTCTAAACAGAGGTAATTGCTCCCTGGGACACATCAGCCACCATCCGTGTCCATGCTTTCATCGGAAGTGCCGTACCATGCAGTTGTGATACTTAACTGCTCTGCCACCGGATTCATAAATTATTGATACATAATGATGCTTTCCACAATACAAGGCATTTGGTTATAAGTTGGGACTGTGAAAGAAGATTATATTTTATCAATATAATCAATCACAGCTGAAATCTTTCTCATAGGGAAAGGA